AGCTCTATTGCTATAGAACAGTTTAAAAGAAAAAGATCCTTGGATGAAGCACTTTTGAACCAAAAAAAAAAATTTAAAAGTGTCTAAAATGCTAACAAATCTATCACAGTAAATTATTAAAATATAAAAACCACAGCTTAACACACCCCACAAAGAAAAGCTAACCAAAGCAACCCAAATCCTAACCAATCTAATAATATTTTTTGCAAAATTACAGTTAATTATTAAAATAAAAAACCACAGCTTAACACCCTCCACAAAGAAAAGCTAACCAAAGCAATCCAAATGCTCAAAAAAAATGTATGATCCAACAAATTTTTTGTCTTAATATGCTCTATTTACAGTAATTTTTCTAAGAAAACAGAAAAGTATGAAATTCCGAGGTACAACTTAACAAGTATAGTTAGAGACGTGAGAAATATAAAATAACACGCGACCGGTGCTATCCCCAAGTCTCTTCCTATATTTGTACAACTGTACCAAAAGTCTACTAGAAACGCACGGGTTACTAAAAATACTTTTTATACCTTCTACTGGGTATATGAATATGTAGACGTAGTTTGTAGACTTTTTTTTACGCTTAATCAAACAGCAGTGCGATTCTGTAAACATATTTTCTTTCTAGCGACTCATCATTCTGGTAAGAACATCATAACCCAGCAAGAAATTTCTTGTTCCAGGCCTTACAGAATCGCACTGCATGTCTCAATGCAAATTCGCCTAAAATAGCCATATAAATGATAATTAAATTGTTAAACTCACCTGGTAGTCTTCTACCCCCTAGCCACTGATTTTTTATCCATCCTGTCATTCCATATTTTCCATCTTATTCAAATATTATTCGGATGATTAATCAACGTCGACAACTGACTAGTGTAGTAAGTGTCACCTGGGATAAGTTAAAGCTTAAATAATAATAACAATAATTAGTTTAGCAACTCACAAGACAAAATTCGAAGGCATGGCACCCGTACTGTACAGAACACTGAGGTTTGCTACACTACACTGCAATAATAAATTGACAAACAAAACTATAAACCCATATAACCACACAAAAAACACTTCTATACCTGTCTGTTTGTTGTCTTGCATAACATATTTTACCTCTCGTGATAATAAATATATTCGCCTCGCTTACCAATGTCGCTTACCAATGAATCATAATTTTTTCTAGTGTTGTCTTTAAAATAGAGAGTTTTAGCATTACTTGATAAATAAGTCACGGGTTTTTCAAATTAATGAATATTCTACAGGGTTCGACAATAGTGCGTCGAGCTCCTACAATAAAAAACTTAGAATTTTGTTTAAGTGTAGACCTAAAGTATGAATTAGGATGTATTTAAGGAAAATATTTGTTTTTAACGGAGCACCTTGTATATTATTTCATTGTTTGGCTTTATTTCTGATCAATTTACATAACCCTAACATATTATTAAATATTTTTTGATAGTTTGAGATATTAATAAAGAAATAAAAACATATTTTTTCTGCCTTTCTTAAAAAAAACATTAAAACTACAAGAAATGTCTTGAAATGAAAACCATATTAGGTATTTACTATAGTTCGTCTGTACTTACTTTCCTATAAATATCGTAATCTTAAACCATACAGGGTATTCAAAATTCTATGCCAAACTTTCTAAAATATAAAATAATTTATTCTTCATTTTTTAAATCGAACAGCCTGTACAATACTATTCCTTTGTTGGAGAATTAATAAATGAAAACTTTTTATATTTAAAGTTTTAAATTTCAAGATTTTAACGATTTTGCGGATATTCCTAATAATAAATTACATATGGGGTTTTCCACAGCTAATGATTTTGGTCTAGTATTTTACCGTTAAAAGAGCCATATGTAATAAAAAAATACAAAAAATATTCATTTTTAAATTCTCCATCTAACAGAGAAATATATACAGTGTATATACACTGTGAAAAAAAAAGAAAAAATATTTTATTTGTTTCATAAAATTTGGCATAGAATTTTGAACACCCTGTGTGGCTTAAGATTACGATATTTATAGCAAAGTAAATACAGACCAACAACAAACGAAGTAAATACAGACCTATTGGTTGTAAATACTTGTAGTTTGGTTTGACATTGGCATTCCCTGTGGAAATATCACTTAAAATTAGTTGCCAAAATTACGAAATTTTGGAAAAGGAGATTTTGACCAAAATTTTGACACTTAAATTAAAAAAACTGCTTTATAAACTAGATTTACCTAAACAAGTAGAATTTTTTTTATTATTTAGTCTCCTTAAATAAGTAACTTAATACAAACTAATAAAATGGGGTCATTGAAAGCGTGGAACAAAAAAAAATACAAAAATAAAAATACTATAGCTTCTTTAATATTTCCCTTGCGTTTAGTTTTAAAAAGAAATAATTTATAACTTTGAAATTAAATATCATTTAGCATAGATCGATACTATCTAATTATAGTTTTTTATATTTCTACACTTTTTAAGCCCCGTTTTGTGTTAAAAGTGTTTTTACTTACTAAAGAAAATTATTTCGTTTTGTTCCATGATTGTTACTAATAGTCCAAGAAAATAGGCCTTTAAATACGAAGCTTTGGTAAAAACTTGAAGTTTTGATTGTAAGTTACTTTAAAAGATCTAAAAACGAAATTCACCGAGAGGGAAAATAAATACATAACATTATTTTTTCGAAATTTCGGAGGAACGGTAAGAACTAGAAAAAAAAGTTTAAAGTTTTATAAAAAAAATTTTTTACAATTCGAATAAATCTTTCACATTATGAACATTTCAATTTTAGTTTTTACCGTTTCTCCGAAATTTCGAAAAAATAATTTTGTTTATTTATTTCATCCCTTTTCGGGGGTTAGTTTAAAAAATCTTCCACAACAATTGTGGTAAAAAGATGTAAAAACGAATTATTCGTTTTTACTTCTTTCAAAATCAAAAATTCAACTTTTTACTAAAACTTCGTATTTGAAAGCCTATTTTCTAGAACTATAAATAATATTCTTACTGGCCCAGTAATATAACAAATAATTCACAAAATTATTTAATAATTTCACATACATGCGGAAATATTGTTTATTATGTCTACCTGACTACCTACACAAATTTGTTTTCAAAACACACCTTTAACTCAAATAACTAAATATTATACGTCCACACAAAAACACAATATTCACAAGCTATATACCCTGCTGGCAAGCGAAACCTTGGGTCGGCGTTTACATGTATAGGAGTGAATCGCTATGGCAATCTAGTAAGTCGGAGAGAGCAAAAATACGAAGTATTTATTACATAATCACTTAATTTGACGCTAGATTCCACGCGCTTGGAAAAATACTTGCATGCCTTTTGTCTTTATTCAGTACATCTTATTTTACTAAGCGTGTTGACCGTACTCTTCGTACACACGAAAATTGGCACCCAAGACCAGAAATGCCAACCCCTAGTATAATATAGTCTGTCCATCGAGAGGCTCTATGACAGTAACAGTTGTGTCTGTCATTTTAATTTACAAGTACATTGCATTTTCTGTCATTTTTTACATTTTATCTATCAAAATCTTCCCGGTCTTGTTGGGCAGACTATACTAGAAGATAATGTGTACAAATTTATTTTTTTGCTTCATTGGTTAATCTCCCTGAGCCATACCGCTCTGCATAAACACAAAAATCAATCTTTTTCAGTAACTAAATGAGGACATGCTGAAAATAAAAGTAATGTTGACGTATTTAAATGATTGATGAGAAATTTTAATAAAAATTTATAATGTAGGTAAGATATGAGCAAAGAATGTACGATCACATTTAATTTAGATTTATATATATTTTCCACAAATATTTTCAGGCGAGGTTTTTACAATACATGAATTTTGCCAGACAAATATTATAAAATCTATTAAATAATAAGTATATTTATATTTTACCACCATATTTCATTACCATAATAGATCGTTTATATTTTTATTTCTTTATTAATAAACATTTAATATTTTACAACCTTTGTATTTAATTGTTTGTAAAGTAGATATATATTTTGCTAGTATGAAAATAAAATATAAATTGTTATAAATAATCTAGCTGGTACAATTTTTTCATATTATAAAATAGTTTAACATCGCTTACTACTTATTTAAAGTGTTTATTAAGGTTATTAAACTAAAACTTTCTGTAATATTTATATTCAAATTCTATAAAGGTTCAGTAAGTATTGATATTGCCTCAATAATTTAAGGTCCATCTATTTATGAATACTAAAACTAGGTAGATATTATAACCACTAACCTACAGGACACTTATTTTCATTGTATTCAAAATATTTTACGTAGTTACCTATATATTTAAAGTTTTTGTCTTGTTAAGTTGCATAAACTAAAGCTTTCTACAATTTGTATATTCTCAACCTCTGTAAAGATTTAATAAGTATTGATTTCGCCTCAATAATTTAAGCTCCATCTAGTTGCGAATGCTAAAACTAGGGAGATATAATCAATAATCAACAGGTCACCTGTTTTCGGATTAGATTAATAATTGTAGTTCAGTTTTAGAGATGGATCTCGAATAAAAAAAAACTCTAATAGTATTCTTAACAAAATAGAAACAACTAGATATTAATTTTAATTAGTATGGTTGTTTTAATACGCTGTTCTTGTTTTAATATTTATTTTATATATGACTATTTGATAATATTATAATAACATTCTTAAAACAACAAAATACAAATATGGTGGCAAGGGTTAAACTAAAGTGTAAATGTAAGAAAAATAAGTAAAACACATCTCCCAATACTAAGATCAGAAAAAAATAGTATTTAATAAATTTATTTTTTGACAAAATAATACGAATTTTTGACAGAATAATTCTCATTCGGAACTAAGCTATAAAACTTAATATAAAAATAACTAATAGATATAAAAATAACTTTAAACCAAACATATCCTTAAAAATCAGGATAACAAAAAAATAATATGCAATATATTATTTACTCGAAAATAATGTTCATATACTTGTAATATTTTTATTTCATTTTTTAATTATATATTTATTTTGTACATATAAATATACTTAACTACACAGTATGTGTCACTTGAAATTTCTGTAGTTTATTCGTTACATTTTTATGTATTTTTAAGAGAAGAAAATATTTTTTAATAAAATTTTATTAAAATGGCTTGATAGACAGGAAGAGTCTTGTGGAATGATGAGAACCAAATGCAGTGTTGTGTTCATCTTCTTTTCTGTTCTTTATTTCCTAAAATAAAAGAAAATAATTAATGATACTAGAAAATAAATAAATCAGAGATATTAATATAAACAGACATAAAAATATCTAATTATTAAATAAAGTAACTAATAATAACAGAATTTTTATCTATAAATTAAACAATTTTACTATAAATAAGACGTTAAGAGTTACAACATTCATAATTTTAGAGAGAAAATAATCTAACTTCTTTTTAAATAAGCCATCGTTTTTATAGAGGAATTTATTTATTTATAATTTCTTATTAATAAATTTCTATAACCTTTGTACTTACTCTTCTAGTTCGATATCATCAGGAATGCAAACAACGCTCATATATGAGTTTATATCGTTTTCAGTCAATTTCTTTAAGTGTACCGTGATAGAGTTATCGTATCCACCGCTGGAAACAAGGCGAACACTAGTAGTTCCACACCCAATATACTCAACGTGACTACCTAAAATATGAAATAGTGTGACAAAATATAAAAACTTAATCACTAAGATATAAATACGATAAAAAAATCCTAGGTTCTTCATTATGGCACAGAATATCTAACTACGCAACGTTTTCGTTACATGTATAAAACTGTAGGTATCAAAAGGAGACAGGCTTTTAAAGCCTGTCTCCTTTTTGATACCTACAAAAGCGATGTTAGCGATGATTATAAGGTTATAAGCGATGATTATAAGGTATAATACCTGTTAGCGATGATTATAAGGGAAATAGTATACCATAATATAGTACCATATTACGATACATGGCGTTCGATTGAGCTTAAACTTGGTACTCTACTTATCTTTAGTAACATTGTAATATTATGGTACCATGGAGCATATAAAGTGGTACCTTCTATAGTACTACATTATGATACCACTTCCTGACGTTCGATTGGGCTCGTATTTGATATATACGTGCTTATTTTTGATGACATTGCAATATTATGGTACAAATTAAGTGGTACCAAACCATAATATAGTACCATATTAGATACATGGCGGTCGATATAGGGCTTAAACTTGGTATACTACGTATGAAGATACACAATTACAATGTCACCGAAGGGTGACATTGTAATTTTGTGGTACCATGGAAAGTGGTACCTCTATAGTACCATATTATATTACCACTCCTTGATGTTCGATTGGGCCCATATTTGGTGTATATTTGCGTATTTTTGATGATATTGCAATATTATGGTACCATGAAGCATATCAAATGATACCATAATATAGTACCATACTACATACATGGCGTTCGATTGGGCTGAAACTTGGTATACTACGTATATTCTGTAACATTGTAATTGTAATATGATAGTACTATGATGCATGTAAAGTGGTACCTTCTATTTAGTACCATATTATGATACCACTCCTTGACGTTCGATTGAGCTCATATTTGACATATAATTTCGTATTTTTGATGACATTGCAATATTATGATACCATGAACCATATCGAGTGGTATCATAGTATAGTACCGTATTACGTACATGGCGTTCGATTAGGCTTAAACTTGGTATTCTACGTTCTTGGTAAACTTCGGTGACATTGTAATATTATGGTACCATGGAGCATATAAAGTGGCACCTTCTATAGTACTACATTATGATACCACTTCCTGATGTTCGATTGGGCTCGTATTTGATATATACTTGCGTATGTTTGATGATATTGCAATATTATGGTACCATAAAGCATATCAAGAGGTACCATAATGTAGTACCATATAACGATACCATTTCCTGGCGATCGATTGGGCTTAAACTTGGTCTACTACGGATCTTCGGTGACATTGCAATATTATGGTACCTTGAAGCATATCGAGTGGAGTACAATATTATGATATCATTTCCTGGATTTCGTTTGGGTTCAAATTTGGTATACTTGCGTTTCTTTATAATGATTTGTTGTGTGCTACTGCATTTTAATAAATTATTTCCATTATTATTTAACTTATATTTCATTACTAATGTTCCAGCATTAATAAATATTATTATATCAATCGCCCTGTATATTTTTAAAGGTAATTAAAGGTATTTTCTTAGTTTATTCAAGGTAGTGTATATTAAAAATGTATTTTTTGAGTATGTTTTGTAATAATATTCTTAAAACTATTTTAAAAGCCAAACGAATAATTAACATAAGTGTGTCTGACAAGAAAAGAAGAATAGAAAGAAACTATTATACACCAGAAAACGAATGGGATGCCAATTAAAGGTCATTTTGAATGTGGCAACTGTACATTTTAGGCGAGCTTCAAGGCCGTCGACGGGCCGTCGATCTAAAACCGAAAGTTCAAAATTTTCAATTATATTCTGATTATGATATTGTCACTCCATCTAGTATTTTATTTGTGCAATTTTAGCTCTTTTATTTCGAGTATTTTTCTGTTGCGTAGCTAGATATTCTGTGATTATGGACTAGTTGAAGCCTGGCGCATCCGCCACGACATCAGGAAAAAAAAATACTTTTTATTTTTATTTTTTAATTAAATGAAAAACAAAAAATCCGGCGACGACAGTTTTTAGAAGAGCCAATTAGCTATATTTTAGTAAAAAAACAACTTTCTAGAGCAAGTCGTTACTTCAGTAGAGACGACACAGATAAAAATCAGCATTTTATATATTATGTAGATTATGGTAAATATTATATTCATAATTTGTGTGCCTACGATGTACATTTTATATGTATACAAGATGAATTACAAACCTACCTACTAATATTAATCTGCTTTATTACTATATGGGACTACTATTTAGTCGATGCAAAGTGTAAATTTTATACTTTGCATCGACTAAATAATTCAATATTAAGATTATTAAAAGCCTTATTAGCCAATTAAGTAACGCATTATTGAGTCTTTCTTTTCTTTTTAGAGGGGCGCTAATAGTACATTAACCTGGACACTCAAGAAGGCAACGTAAATGGATTTTAAATAATATTAGGTACGAATTGATTTTAAAACCTTTGTCCCTCATTGAAATGTTTAATAATTATATTATATTTTTATATTGTATTAATTGAAAGCTTTCAGGGTGGTATCAAAAATATAATTTCATAATAAATATCTTTGTAAATTTCTATTTTATACTGTGTAAGTCTCTTTCTGTAACAATAATTTAATTGTTAGGTAAAACTGTGTCATAAAGATGCTATATGATTTTTGAATTTGTATATTTTATTCTATTTTTAGTTTTAATTTGTATCAAAATATAAACTTGATAATTTACCTGGTTTTGAGCTTAGTCCACATAATGTATCTGCAATTTGCATATTTGAGTTGTCCAGTCCATTAGATCCACCAATTTGAACATAATCGTCAAGTCCTCTTTTTTGGCACTGAAATATTTAAAATACACCTTAGTCAATAATGTTATTATACATCTATATCTAAGAATTTTGACACACAGAAAAAAATCTGATATAAGCCTTAAAAACAATGGTTTCATCGTTCTATCTAAACAAACGATATTTCTGTTATAAAATATTTTGCATAGAACATCAATATTTACATTAATCAAGTAGAAGGAAAACCACTAACATTCCCAACAACAATAAGAATATAAAATGTGCATTTGTCTGAAAGCCAGGCAAAGTTGTAAACACAATTCGATAATAATAATATACACTAGAAAGGCGAACTAAAATTAACATGTTTTCCATACACATACATAATTTTTGCATTAGTTATATTAATGGATAGCATTATATAAATGAGAGATAATTGTACTATTTCTTAAAGTTCTTAAGTAGTTTTTCTTATTTCTGCTTTCTGAGAAACTAGAATTAATTACCTGTCTACATAGAGAAAAATTGAAAAACTTAATAATACATTTAAATAAAAATTTGAATATTTGCACTTTTTTAATACATAAATTTTACTCTCTACTAGCTATTTGAAAAGCAAATTTGAGTCGCTTCGTTTCTTATGGCGTAAATTGAGGAATTAATTTAATAATAATAATAGCTCCCGTATATAGCTTTAACGCCTTGGGAGTAGCAAGGTACAGGGTGAGTCAACGATAGAGTAAAGTCCATTATCTCATTTGTTTCGAGGTTTACAAAAAAATGTTAAATACAAAAGTTATAGGGAAAATTAAGATACACATTCTAAAATTATTATAGAGTATACATGGTGCTTCAAAAAAGTGTGGCGGATATAACATATGTTTTTTTAAAGGCCAACATCCTATTTTTTATTTCATTTTTAGATTCTGCGTAAAATTCTATAACTTTTTTATATATAACGTTATATACCTAAAATTAATAGTTTTTGTAATATTTCAATTTGTTTATACAAATGTTAAATTGCAGTGTGGTAAAAAATTGTCAGAGGTACCATTGTTTCTGAAGTTGGAATACCAAAATTTGGTATGAGAGTTCTATAGAGATTAAAAGGAAGATATATGTTAAGATATTTTAGTTAAATGCTACAGGGTGTTCAAAATATATTTATAAATTTCAACTATTTAAAATTAAAAAATCTAAATTTTTTTAAATGGTACACCCTATATATTTTGATTCTTTCTGATAGATTTTGCAAAGCTCTTTAACTTTTATTAATATTTATTCCAATTTTTTCTATTTTTACCCATATCTTTAATACAATTACGCTATAACATCAAAGTTGCCATGACAAAAAATAATAATTATTATCAAAATTTCATATGTCTGTTAGCAAGTTAAGAACAAAAGGTGAATTTTAGTTTAATTTGTTGTAAGAAGTATAAATGGTAGAAGTAGAGGTAATAGTTTCAGATTTTCCTGAAAATGGATTAGTCAATGTGACTGATATACACGAACAAGCCAAAATAAACATATTTTTTGGTTCAGTACTATATATTATATAGTACTTTGCTAAGTACTATAAGAATAGATGTAGATTATCTAGAAAACATTTTGATATTATATTATATTATAATATTTTCAGTGTGTAATGGGACGGTTTTGTGGCAGTAGTAATATTGGCTTTACGAAATGAATTATAAACCAGAATTACTACGAGAAAAAATATTTACTGTATGTCGGAGAAAATGTCAATACTAGTAGTCGTCAACAATTAGGTAATCTAGTTAGTATTACCCTAATCTGTGGCTATTCGGTCCGACGGAAAATCCAAATGTCATCTTTCATAATACAGAAATATACCAAGAAATTCACGACTACGATTTTAGTTTATTTGAGTAAAGTTAGTTAATTTTGACTAACAATAACAATTTTAACTAATTATTAACTACTTGTTAAAAATAAGTAATAAATATGTTTGTTTTGTTACGGCAACTATGATATTATAGCGTAATTGTATTAAAAATTAAGGTAAAAATAGAAAAAAATTGGAATAAATCGCAAACTATTAAAAATAGGTATATGACATACTTAATAAAAGTTGAAGAGCTTTGCAAAATCTATCAGAAAAAATGAAAATATATAGGGTGTACCATTTAAAAATTTTGAATTTTTTGTTATTTTAATAGTTGAAATTCATAAATATATTTTGAACACCCTGTAGCATTTAACTAAAATATCTTAACATATATCTTCTTTTTAATCTCTATAGAACTCTCATACCAAATTTTGGTATTCCAACTTCAGAAACAATGGTACAACTGACAATTTTTTACCACACTGCAATTTAACATTTGTATAAACAAATTTAAATATTACAAAAACTATTAATTTTAGGTATATAATATTATATATAAAAAAGTTATAGAATTTTACGTAGAATCTAAAAATAACAAAGTAAAGTTAAAAGTAAATACATATGTTATATCCGCCACACATTTTTGAAGGACCCTGTATACTCTACTATAATTTTAAAATGTGTATCTTAACCTTCCCTATAACTTTTAATAACATATTGTATTTAACATTTTTTTGTAAACCTCGAAACAAATGAGATCATGGACTTTACTCTATCGTTGACTCACCCTGTACAGCTTGCCATTCTAGAGCCGTTCGGTATACAAGGAAGGTAATGTGGCTAGCACTCTACGCTTCAACCGCCTATTATTACCTCAGGATTGTGAGTCCCAAGTACTCATTTTAGGCTGAGTCGACCTAGGTACCCAAACTATTTTTATTTTAATAAAAATAGTCGGCTGATGCAATGCCGCGTGTGGGAATCGAACCCACTACCTTGAGATTGGTAGACGAGAGCCTGTACCTCTACGCCACCGGGCACCTAGGAATCAATTTCATTTTTTTTAATATACGGGGTGTATTAAAAAACATGTGCCATATCTCGTAGGGAGATTCCTCACGTAAAAATAATATTTATTTTTCATATCAACATGGAAGATAGAGATTCTGCTTCGTTTCGTAGCTACAGAGTGTTTAAAGTCTTAATAATCTTTCGATTTATTATAATTTTTTTCTTTAGTATATAAGTACTTTTAATGATTTGAATAAAATTTTTCGGGTAAAAATTACCTACTATAAGTGCTACATATATTTTAATGCTAAAAAGAGTGTCGACAGATTCATCAGGTACAATCACAATTAATAGAATTAATAAATTATATATTTTACCTAATTTATTATTAAATATTATTACTATTAATTATTATTACTATTAGTCTAACCTACTGCAATTTCAGATAAAAAAAAATAATGGTATTTAAGATAATTACAAAAAACTGAATTTTAAAAAGATTTAACATCCTGTAGCTCTAAAATTATGCATTTCATAGCCATGTTTGTAGGAACTTTTTTTAATATTTTTTGATGAGGAATCGATGAGTACTTATTTAAAACTGCCGCAAGTTAAAAATATTATTTTTTTTAAAGGTTGCTACTAGACTTCGATCAAAACAAATTAATAAAATTGCGTTTATCTCATCAAGGAGACCGAAATCGACAAAATATCAAGAAGCAACGTTTAATCGGCATTAAACTGCTTACACTATTCGCTAACAAGGAAAAAAAGTCAGTGGCGTACGTGCTTTTTTTAGAAAAATATTCCATTGGTAACCCATATACACGTCCCTGGTAAACATGTCAACACTTTTTTAGTTTTAAAATATGACGCGTTTATAGTAACTTTTACCCTCAAAATTTCATTCGAAACGCTGCACAGTGCTTCGAACATATGGCTCTAGAGGACAAAAATGCAAAACTTCTCTTCTATTGTAGGTAATTTATTCAAACTAGGTTTATTTGACACAAATGATGAGTACTCTCATTGTACTAAATGATGATGTTCTTAGTCCCACGTTTATGAAAAAAAATCTTATAAATAATAAAAATGTGGGAGCTGTGTTTCATCTAAGGAAATAATAATTTATAGTATGAAAACGGTGTAAGTATTAAATAAATCCCTGTGATAAAAAAGAATTGGAATAACATTAGAACATGATTCCTACAATATAAGCCAATATAAGATAAAAATGTTTTTCTTTAATGAAAAGAAACATTAATGCTATATTTAATTAAAAAAAACTTAAGATACTATAAATTTACTTTAGGACAACAAAATGCATAGATCGTAACTACTCTGATTCAGAAGAATCACTGCTGACAGAATCTTCCAAATTTATAGTATCCAAATCACAGGTAGATGAAATATCCTCACATATAAGATATTTTTGTACATGTTTTTCTAATATGTTACTTTTTCGCGTTGTTACTGTTCTTTTTGTTGGTATGAGGGGTTCGGATGTTAATAGTTACCTCTTTAATAGACCATATCAATATATTATTTTTTTCGTTTTCTTGGGTATGAGGTTTTATAATAAATTGAAAGATGGAAACTTTTTTATGCGACGTTTCGCTCCAAAATAGTGGGCTTTTTCAAGCACAAATGGTCTCATTTGACTGGAATGTTCATCAATATCTAATAAAGAACACATTTTTTGAAATACAAATAATTTTGAGTTCTTGTCCTTATGATCAAGCCAAGTATTAACCAGATCGGCATTGCTTATCAATTTTACTCCATTTGAAAAGTATTATAAAATAAAGTTCGTCGCAAGCAGACGCAGGTGAACTATACAAAAATTAAAAGTGTATGAATATGACAACAAAAATATTCAATAAATACGATATGTTTTGATATGTTTTTTTTAAATGCCTTTTGAAGTTTGAAAACGTAAAATTTTTATACCCATTTAAGAATCATTTTAAAAATAAATAAAAACTAAACAATGACGAACTTGTTTAGAAATAAATTTAAAGCACATATCTTGTTTAACAATATCCATAGTGGCTTTCAATTAAGTACGTACTAACTCGTTTACGTTTAACTCCATATACAGAACTACTATAAATGTTATTCTTTTCATTGATATAAGATAATGATCGCAAAATTTATTTTTAGTGAAAATATTTGCTAACAAAAAAACGCTGTTTATGAAAAATAATATACAGGATGGTTGAACATTGCTATAAGTATAAAATTACATATTCAGATATTAGTAAATTTTAACTTTTTTTTCGATTTTTGTCCATGGGACGAAGCACTGTGCGCTGAAAGTACTTGGAAGAAAATTATAATAAATCGAAAAAATAACAAGACTTTAACACCCTGTATCTACGAAACAAAGCAGAATCGGACCTATGTTGATATGAAAAATAAACCTTATTTTTACGTGATGAATCTCCCCACTAAAGATGGCACATGTTTTCTGTAACACCCTGTATATTTTGATAGATAAATTTACTTAGACTTTTAAGCAAACAGCATATATTTCAGCCCTTCAAAATATTTAAATTTTGACTAGTTTATTTGTAGTTATCTTAAACTGCAGAGATTTTATACTAATAAATAAAATAATATTTCCATTTTTTGAGTCAAATACCAAAAATTAACATTTGTAACTCTCTAGTAAGGTTAACTTGCCATGTCCAGATTTGGGTTAACTGTTAATATAATGTGTCATCAGATAGTATGACGATCAAAGATAGTATTAATTTTCATTCATTTATATGACAAAAATATAAAATTTTTCTCATCTGAAAAGTGACACACATTGTATAAAGCAGAAGTAAAATAGTTACAGAAATTTAAGAACATTAATAAAACTCGAAAAATAAAAAAATAACTTTTTAAAAAACCATTCAAAAATAACTAATAAAGAGAGAAAATAAAAATAAAACATCTACTACCCTCTATCCTACGTTTGCATGCACTACCTCTGCTCGAACCTTGTAGATGGTGCCGGTCTCGAACTCCAAGCCCCTGTTTCGACTGGGAGTCACTCCAACATTGATATTCAATATATTAACCGCCGCCGGAACCAATGCACTGACGCTACAATTTGATCTTTTGTCGTAGTTCCTCAAAGTGTACGTCTCGTCGGGTTGTAGCAGAATATTGCAGGCTAAAAATATATTCGAATTTGTATTCCATTTGCGATTATTTTAGTTCCGATTGAGTTTATGTCGCGAAATATAAAATAGCCCAGACACATTTTATATTGCAAATATAAATTGTGTGTGAAGAAATACGCGAGTGGAGTTGGCAACTAGTTCTAGAGAAATAACAAGAGTCTTGTATGGCATATTTATACTTTTAAATTCAATTTATTTCAGCCCAATAATATAAAAAAATAACCGTGGTATGTCAAAAGAGAAAAAATACAAAGTGTGGATCATGTACCAATAAGTAATGAACATTGTTTTGTAAATTGTATTATTAAATTGCAAATAATTCTATCTTGAATAATATATTGAAGGAATGTTAGACATATTACTAAATGTATTAGTAATATTTCTCAGTTTGGTATAATAATATACCAAAATATAATTTTGGTATATGATACCCTGTGAATGCGATAAATTTTACATTGGTAAAACATCTAGACCCTTAAATATTAGAATTAAAGAACATAAAGATTATTTAAGAAAGGGAGATTTTCACAAATCTAAGATTTTATGGCACATAGCATTCATGGGACACAGGGTACAGAATAAATTCTAATAACGCCAGAATGATAATGAAAGAAGCGGTAGCCTCTAAAAGAAAAACAAAAGAGGCATTTTTAATTTAATCTAATAAAAATAAATGTATTGCTCATGCATCTGTAGATGTTAGTAATGTATGGCAATCGCTTCTTTGTGTGTTCTCGAATAGTTGAATATAATTAATATTTTTGCAAAATTCCAAATTTTCAAAAAAAAATCGCAAAAAGAAACACATAATCGTGTTGCTGGGGTCGAAATATACTAACCTTAACAATATTTGCAGTTATTTAAGACTCCCCTGTATAAACCTTAGTAATGTTTCTAGTTTGTCAATTTTTTTAATGTGCTTATCCAAAAAGTTTAGTTAATTAATTAAATTTTTTACTTGAATCCCAAACGTCACTCGCCAATGCTCAATTTAAAAGTAAATACAGAAGTTTTTGTTTGCAATCGGAACTCCAGCGTCCGAAAGCACTTGAACTTTGTAACGGAAAGCGCATAAATGAATAATTTTGCATCACCTGGCATTGCTAAATAACTCACTCTGCACCGTAAAAAGTTTTCAGTTCCCTTTGCTATTTTAATATTTAATATAATATATTTATAAACTTTGTCAAGTACCTACCTATACCACTTCCATGAATTTTAGAAAATATCTGTTGTATAAAAAAATGTACCTATTTTACTAATTATTTGGTACAAAAATCTACTTATTTATTAGCTGAAATTTCACACATTTTAATATGGAATTAATAAAATCCTGAAGATGTAAAATCTATACTATAGTCTATAAAATGAATAACTTTGAATTTTGACCGTTATTTTTTACCAACATGGCAAATATATAATCCCTCTATCAAAAAAGTTCCTGATATTCTTTAAATTGAGTGCCTGAACTAATCATATAGGTAACTCTTTTTACTTTCGTGAAATAGAAAAGGAAAATAATAAAACAAGTGACAGTTCTTCATCTTCTTGCAAAAATCAACACGAAATGTCATAATTGACAAAAGTAAAATGGCATCAGCTTTTGACATTTCTAAATATTAGACCAATGCCGTCTCTAATAGAACAGCCACGGAGCGAGATTTATGACGTCACGCTAGTTAGATACTACGGATTAATATGTTGTAGAATACATGGAAAACATAATTATTCCTCGTATTTTTGGTGTGTATTTTAAAAATGATATAGTTTACATGAAATATACATAATATTCAGTTAATAAATACAATATAATATATACCTATTTATAGTAATAAATACTTTGGCAAATAAACTATGAACCATACAAATGCAGCAAATGTTTTACAATATACAAATAATGAATAGGCGGTGCATAAGGTAATGGGTAAAATGCAGGGTTGTTAAGTAGTTTATGAAGCAAAAAACTACGCCAAAAGCTACGCGTAGTTTTTTGTATTAACTACGTTTTAAAATTTTAAAAACTACCTTCAAAAACTACACAAAAACTACGTTAAAAACTACCTACAAAAATATAGTAAAACATAAACAATTTAGACTTTAAACTAAAATCAAGCCAAATTCTTATCATGGAAGCTGATGGAAGTATGCAGTTATATTATATTTGTATAAGTTAAACAACATCAGAAAAAAAGACAATTTTTTTTCAACAAAAGTGTATTTTCTACGAAATACAAAGTAACATTGAACAGAAAATAAACTATAAATTCTTATGGAGAAATTCTCCAGAGAATATATGATTTTTTACATCTAAAGGCACAACTTCCTAATACCCCTCTTCCCAGAAGGTATGAAGCAAGGTATGGAGACATCGACGTCTTCCAAGCATTTTTAACTACTAATAAATATCAAAAATATCAAATAATAAAGAACAAATTCACAAACTATAGATTTTTTATTTCTTTAAATTGATCAACAAACAAAGTTTTTAGGTTATGTTTTCACTGTTATTTAAAAAAACTACATTAGTTACATAAACTACACATTTACTACTCGACATTTAAAAAACTACTTGTGACATGTAGTAAATGTAGTTTATTAATTACTATGTGTAGTTTAACAAATCTGGTAAAATGTAAAATATATTTTAAATTTTGGGGTTTGAAAATCGATCTAATTTAATAAAAAACATTCAATATCTACTAATAGTGATGTATTATTATTTGCATTCATAAAATTTATTTATATATTATAATGTTTACTGCAATTAATAAACTAATATAAACTTGTCAAAAGATGACCACATATTTTTTTAAATTATTATTCTTAACACAAAAACTATCTACATTGACTATGGAGTACGATTTCAGCCATATTGTAAAACATTTGCTGCATTTGTATGGTTCATAGTTTATCTGCCAAAGTATTTATTACTATAAATAGGTATATATATATATATATATATATATATATATATTGTATTTATTAACTGTATATTATGTATATTTTATGAAAACTATATCATTTTTAAAATACAAACCAAAAATACGAGGAATAATTATGTTTTCCATGTATTCTACAACATATTTATTAATCCGTAGTATCTAACTAGCGTGACGTCATAAATCTCGCTCCGAGGCTGTTCTATTAGAGACGGCATTGTGTCAGCATGGCCGCAAGTTGCTAACCTAATAAAATTAACACTAGAAAAGCCCGCGAGAACTGTCAAATTCAAAGTTATTCGTTTTACAGACTATAGTATATAAAATCATTAAGTGGCTTACTGATTAATCACGATTCTGCTTAAACCACTCAACGTAAGAAGCTCAATTTTGGCATACATGTTGATTCTAGGGTGTACAAGTTCGATAGGAAGGGATTTTTGGAAATTCCAGTTCCAAGGGGGTGAAACCACCCCTCAAATATTACAATATTTTTTATTTAAAAACGGTCAAGTTTCGGAAAAAAACGCTTAAAGAGGTATATTTTATTTTGTTTTTTTTTTATAAATTTTAAGATTTTTTAAAAATGTATACAGGGTTTTTCGAAAAACCTGGTCATTGATTAATCACGATCCTGCCTAAAGCGCTTGACGTAAAAAGTTGATTTTTGGAAAACGGATTGACTTTAGGGTGTAGAGGTTCGATAAGAAGGGATTTTTCGAAACTCGAATTCTAAGGGGGTGAAACCACCCCTCAAATATTAGAATAATTTTTATTTAAAAACCGTTGAGTTTTTCGGAAAAACTCTTAAACACGTATATTTTATTTTGTTGTTTTACATATTTTAAGATTTTAAAAATCTTATACAGGGTGTTACATAAAATATGACCGTAATATTGCGTAATCACGATTCTGCTTAAACTGCTTGACGGTTAAAACTGATTTTTGCAAACGAATTGACTGTGGGGTGTAGAGTTTCGATAAGGAGGGGTTTCTCGAATCTCAAATTCCAAGAGGGTTACGAGGGGGCGTTTTCCCCTCAAATATTACAATATTTGTTATTTAAAAAACGGTTAGTCTTTCGAGAAAACGCTTGGACACGCATAATTTATTTTGTTTTTTTATATATTTTGAATTTTTTAAAAAAAAAACATACAGGGTGTTCCAAAAAGTTGGGTAGGTAATTGATTAATCACGATTCTGCTTAAACTGCTTGACGTAAAAAGCTTATTTTCCAACGAGATAAACCTACCCCTCAAATATTACCAACTTACATAATAATATCGCCATATTGTTTTTTCTCATGCTGACATAAATGTGAGAAAATTTTATCCAGTTTGTATGTTAATGGAAATGCTTGCTTTGCCTTATCATCACCATTACAAATGATTAATTCGACGCGAACGAAGTGGCGGGTACACGCTAGTTTAATATATTATATATAATTAATAAGCTATTCAAGTATTTTAGTGTTTAAAATAGAACATGACAATATGGTGAATGCGCAGTTATAAATTTATAAAATTTTAAATCATTATTCTAATTAAAATATAAGGTAATAAGGTAATATCTTATTAAAAAAATCCGAATAAATATAAATATAAATCGCCAAGATTAAGAAAAACAAACTAGATTTCAAAGTATGCACCGAGAATCGAACAGAACTTCAAAAAACTTTGAAAACTTGAACTATATAAATTCTTAGAACAATGATTTATTTCATATCAATTGTTTTGAAACTGCGCTAACATAAAGAAATATTCAAATTGTGACTTAATAAAATTTTTATTGCTCTGAATAACAGTTAAATGCAGTCAAGTCAGAATTGTGTAGGACTCTATGTTAAAAATCGCTGAATTGAAAAATAATTTTAGTTGAACATAAAATATGTAAAGTGTAGAGTCTAAAAATTTTATTTACTTTCCAGAATACGCATACTGAAACAATTGACTACCCACCATAACTTCAGTAATATAAAAATATACCAAAAATAATTTAAATATTTTCTGTTATAAAGTAGGTCCCTATATTTTATATTATTCTAATGCTTT